AAAAAGTTGAAAAGTAATAATAAAAATTAAATGTTAGAGATTCGACTTCTTACGACTACATCGCGAAGCCACATGGCAGAGTTGTTCGATCGTGCAACGTCGGTCCACTGTGCTACTGCATCGAAAGTAGGTAGATCTTGCGAAGGGGGGTTCGGAGCTATAACCCGGGATTTATCGACTGGGAGCGCCCGGACGGATGGAAGAGAGACTGTTTCCCTTCGTTGGTCTCGCGCCAGAAACCAGAAAAGCTGCACAGTCTAAGAGTGACTCCGCCTATCGCTATCAAGCCGTAGAGCTCAAGAGCAAACGTATACCGAGTAAGAGGCCGAGGGGCACGGTGCTGTAGATCCTGTCCTCGAAGGCGCCCTCAATGCTCTAAGCCATGTCCTCGCTCACCACCAGCACCAACACCTCCTCTTCCGCACCCAGAGCAGCCAGCTGCTGCTTATCCTCCTGAGCGGCCCTACACACGACCTTCTCGAGTCTCTCAGTCCCCTTCTCCAAGTCCGGCCCGTGCTCGAGCTCGCCCTGAGCACCACCGTCCGCTTCCGCCCGAGCCCACTTCTCCGCCTCCTGATCAACCAGATGGTCGATCCACGCATCCACGTACCCGAGATCCCACCGCCAGCCCGCCGACTGCGCCGCCACCACCCACACGACCAGCACCCACTCGAGCCACCTGCCCCGGCACTCGGCCAGGCCGCAGCCCTCGCCGTGGTGCCACAGCGCCAGCGCGTCCGCGACGGCGCGGCCCGTGTGCTGGAAGACGGACGAGCCGGTCATGAACACCCAGAACTTCTTCTTGGGCCACGTCGCGCGCCGGCAGACCTTGAGGAAGACGCCGAGGAAGGCCGGGAAGAGGAGCGGGATGAAGGGCGAGATGAGGAGCGCGACGAGGTGCGCGAGCGGCGAGAGGTAGGGGAGGTAGATGATGTCGAGCGCCAGGAAGCTCAGGAGCATGGTGCTGCCTACGAAGGCGAGCGTGCCGAGGTGGGCGAGGATGAGGCTGGTCTTGCTGGGCCTGGGGGTGGCCATGATGGCGGGGATAGGTAAAGAGGGGTTTCGCAAGGGATGGTGTGGTTTGTCTTGATACGAGAGAGGGAGATGGAGGGAAGAGACACAGAGAGATGTTGTGGTGTGCAAGAAAAAATAAAACGTTGACTGAGTTGTCGTTTGCAAGTCGAAGGAGTCGAAGCAGTTGGGGAGGGCCCCAGATGAATAACAAGAAGGCAGAACGCATGAGCCTCTGGGCTTGGGCCTCTGCTTGGGCTTGGGCCTGGGGCTGATTTCACATATGGTACAACAATTGTAACAACGCAAACCGGCTTTTGCATCAGAACGATAAAGAATCGATAAACAAACAACAAATGTATAATACAAACAGATCAATATTCCTCTTTTACTTTCAACCCCTTTTCAAAAGTAGGTGAGATAAGATACAGAAGAAGGTATCATGGCCATTCGCGGACAGGCCCAGTTGAAGCCGGCATCATGCCGTCTTCGACTCGGAGCGGATCCCAAACGAAAGTCGAAACCACTATAAAGACGCCCTGAAACTACAAGGACGAAGCTCGGCTTGATATCTTGTCAAGAGCAATAATGAAAGAGGTTCAAAAAAGTTGGCTACACACTCTTTTCTATTCAAGAGTGTGATAGATGATAGAATACAGAAATAACCCACTGGATATATATCATGGCTACACGATCTCAGATCCAGCAAACAACCAGCCTGCCATGCTCGCTAGTCCTTGGGCGTCCATCTCTCGTCCTATAGAAACCCACGAAAAGATATTGTGTGCTGGAATCTATAAATGATCGTCTCCATCTGTTCAATCAGCACAGGGCGAGGGGTATCATGATCCAGATTCCTATATCTCACAGCCCGAGTCCCGTTTCTTGCTCGCCCACTTGACGAGCATGTACTCCAGCCGCGCCTTCTCAACAGGTTTAGCGAGATAATCGTCCATGCCCGCATCATAGCACTTCTCTCTATCTCCCTGGATTGCAGATGCTGTCATGGCAATGACCGGGATATCCCTCAGGTACCCTCTTCCTCGCCTTTTCAGCGTCTTCCCAGCAAGCCTCGTCTCATCGCAAATCCTCTCCCGTCTTTCCTTACTCCCCACGTCTCTAGCCTCGGACTCTGAGGGAATTTCTGGAATACCGATGTCTATAACATTGGCGCTCCTTGCCGCCGGGTCGGGTTCCGGCGTACTGTCGCCTACTTCTTCGTCCCAGTCTCTTGCGTATTCAGCTGCGGTGCGGAGGATGCGCGTTGCTTCGTAGCCGTCCATGACGGGCATTTGGACGTCCATTAGGATGATGGCCGGGCGCGGTCGTAAGCGGGATGGCGAGAGAAGATAGGAGAGTGCTTCGCGGCCGTTCCATACGGCTGTTACTGTGAAGCCGAGTTGACGAATATTCTTGATGGCGATTGTTTGGTTAATTGCGCTGTTGGGCAGAATTTTGTTAGAAGAGCTGAGATGTAGATCTGTGATATAAGAGTTTAAAAAACAGAAATGAGGATGAAAAACAGACGTACTTGTCTTCTACCACAAGAACATGAAACCGGCTTCTTTGCTCGGGGTTGAGATTTGCAAGTTTTATGTTCCGTGTGTTGTCGGCAGATGCGTGTCGCGAACTGGAGCTCATAGTTGGCGGTTGGTAACTTGAAGTTACACTGCTAGAAATTTGCTGGTTGAGGAGATCCTGATTGATAGATCGGTGACTTAATGGATCTGCCCAGGAGGGAGACCTCATAGAGGGTACGGACCGGGGTTTCGGGTTGGACGGCGGCGAAGAAGTGTCTAACTGTGGGTCGCCGTGCCAACAGGACACTTGGAGAGGAATAGTGAATTTGGCTTTACTTCCTACACCGGGAGTAGATTCGAGCTCGATTGATCCTTTCATCAAGTTTGCAAGCTGTTGCTTGTCAGTTCCCTCTATGTGCGTAACAGTTAGACTTAGCTTACGTTTCTCGATATCGTCAACCCAAGGCCAGTACCACCATACAATCGAGCGGTAGATGAATCGCCTTGGTTGAATGGTATGAACAACTTGTCAAGAACTTTCTTCTCAATTCCGATACCCGTATCTTCAATAATAAATTGCACTTTCACCGTATCCTCGCCAGACTCGAGGTAAACCAGGGTAGACGTCACCGTGAGCTTGACTGCCCCCTGTTTAGTGAACTTCAGCGCGTTCGTCAAGAGATTGGACAGAACTTGTCTGATTCGTCCAGGATCCCCCAGAACCTCTAGCTTCTCGTCCATGGAATTTTCATAAACAAATCCAATCCCCTTCTGAGAGGCAAACATGCCCAGGAGCTTGCATAACTCGCCGACAACCGAGGATGGATAAAAGGGCACCCTCTCGATATCGAGTCGTCCACTTTCAATCTTTGAAAAATCGAGAATGTCGTTGACGATGGTCAGCAGCGCTTTGGCGGAAAGATGAATGCTGTTGACGTATTCTCGCTGTTCTGGTGTCAAAGTAGGGTCGTCGCCCAGTAGCCTTCGTCAAATTAGCACTGGATTCTTCTAGTTCTTATCAAGTGAGGGCTATCTTCGGACATGTCTTCGGGGCCATGTCTTCGGGGCCGGACGCAAAAATGCTGTAGTAGGCTATACATACTCGACCATTCCGATTACACCCTGTGAACTTGTTAACGCTGGAAATCGCATAACAGATTACAAGACTCACTGCTGTAGGAGTTCTCATCTCGTGGGACATCTGTCAAATTAGCAGAACTCCGTCGCTCCGGAAAGACGAGCCTTACATTTGCCAGAAACCGACTCTTCATCTCATTCGAGTCCTTGGCAGCCTGTTCTTCAATCATCAACCTGTTATTTTCCAGCTCCAAAGCGACTCGCTGTTTCATATCGGTCACATCTATGCTGAGTCCCAGGACACCTTTAATTTCTGGTTTCAAAGCGCCATCGACAGCGTTATGTTCGAGATCTGCCACCATACGAGTGCGGAAAACCTTTGAGCCAATCCTGTCTTCTGACTGAGCAACGCCGACTTTCCCGGCCAAAATATCAAGCAGGTTCTTCTCGTAACCTTTGGCAAGTTAGCCACCATTTGCAAAGACAGATGATATCACTGACCTGGAATGCCTCCTTCTTGTGATTTCTGGGCAACATCAATGGCGTCCAGACCGAGCATAGAAGATTTGTTGCTAGGGTCATACATGTCGGTCTCAGAGCCCCAAAGCATACCGCCTTCCGCCATAGTTACGATCTTGTTATTATCTATTGAGAAGAGGTTGACTTCGGCATGAGCAAGTACCGTTAGCATCTGGAGCTTGTTCCTGGCCGCTTCGATCCTTGCCATGACGAGGTCATGAATATCGGTACTCGTACCATACCATTTCAGAATCTTGCCGTCTGCACCCCGGAGTGGACAGGCACGAGTGAGCATCCACCTGTAAGCCCCATCGTGGCGTCGATAGCGCACTTCTTTATCGCATTCGCCACCACAGGCCCGATGGAAACCCCAAGATTCCATCAGGTTGGGCAAATCATCTGGATGAATGGCCTGGTGGAATCCTTTGCCGATCGATTCTTCTTCGGTGAGGCCGGTGAACTCATACCACTATAGCTGTCAGCAAATCCCGGGTGTATACACTTACACCTAGTCTTACCCTGTTTGAGAAGTAGTCGGCTTGCCCATCGGTTTTCGTCGTCCAGACCAGGTGGGGCATGATATTGCAGATCGTCTCATGACTACCCAAGCGTCGTTGTTGCTGATCGAGTAGAAAGTCCGAATACTCTTGAAGCTCTCTGCACCAACAGAGCCCGCCCAAGAATTCTCCCGTGTCTTCATCGTAAAGGCATTCTCCATCAACACTTGTAACAATCCGTTCCCCCGTAACGTCATGTATGAAACCGCATCTATAATTTGAAAATGGCGCTTTCGCCCGCACCAATTTTAGACCTATAGACACGGGAGGTCAGTAATTGCCTTCGGGAGCACACAATATTGTCTGTCGCCAAACGCGTACCTGGAAACTCGGTGTGGTCCAATCGTCTTGTGAAATTCTCGTCCCAAATTTCCAAACGTGTTCTTAAAGTCGCATCGCAACCCTCGGGCCCGCCCATTACGGAACCCATTACCTCGCGGCCCTTGGTGTTCGTAAGGTAGAATTCCTCGTCCACCGTCAAGATGAAGCCGGCAACATTATGGCTGTCGAATACTGCCTTCTTGATTTGCAGGGTGTTTCTCGCCGGTTCAGGAGAATCTTTGCTTACTCCAGCTGGTATCCTCGGGATCCGATCAGACGAAGAGGTCCCCTGGTTACTATCCTGGTTCAGCCCTCTCTCGGTGTATACAGAGCGTTCGAATGATAAGATGAAGTGGGTTCCACTCTCGAATATCAAAGTCGAAACCAGAATCCGGAACTGTTTCTCCCCGCAGGTTGTAGTTGGATCTGTGACCACGGCATCAACACCATGCACTGGGCCGTCGTTCCCCTCAGAGACGGCCTGTTCCTGCGCCGACACAAGCCTGTCCAGTACCGCATTCCATATTCTGTTGTAAAGCAACCTGATACCTATCTCTGCCGGTCCAGAACCTAGTATCTCTTTCCCCGGCGACTGTATAATTTCGCGGGAGCCCAGTATTCGCTCTGCAGCTCGATTTGCAAAGACGGCGGTTCGTTCAGGCGACAAGACAAGTACCGGAATTGGAAGACTTCGGAGAACCGCGAATTGCAGGTCCATAGTGGAATATAAGCTCGAATGCCTCCTTCCGGAATGCAAATGCTGGAGTGTTGAAGTCTAACGTCGCGTTGGTTCAGCTCGTTCTGTTATGCCTTACGGTAGGATGCGCCAAGCATACAGTCGTAGACTTCAGATCCTCCGAATCTTCCATTTTTAGCCCTCCAGGCTCTGCCGTCTCCATGGTAGTCGTCGCAGACATCTGGATGTTTCGGTGGCAGTGACAATATTGCAAATCGGGAGCCCAGCAGCCCGGCAGCCCAGAAGCTCAGCTAATCGATATAGCAGCTGTGGTTTTGCGTGCGTCTCTCCCGGGAATCTGCGACCACCAGGCAAGGCAGAGCAAGCCCGGAGTATAGTGATCCCACACGATCGATCAGCATGGTGGTGACGATATGACCAGCAGCCGTTGGACTCCTCCCAGTGTTCTCGGCTGTTTGAGCAACGATGCGCATACCTGTTGGGGCAAAGTGAGGAGGAGGCTGCTGTCTGTACTGGAGTCGTTACGGGCGTCACAGTGCGTGGGTCAGACCCGACCCTGGAGCATGATGTCAACGGGGAAGATCGATATTCGTGAACCTGGAAGCCTGGAAGCGGAAAAGAAGGGTTGCTGATCTGACTATAGATATAGATATAGATGTATATATAGATGTAGACATAGATATAGATATATCTATCTATCTATCTATCTACCAATATACACATACATATACATCTGTTGACTTTGGCTGACCATCGTGTTTCTACAATATTGAGTATCTTGCCCCTGCAGCCGCATCTCCTTGTTCCAGCTGCAGTACCGGTATCGGTATCGTCAATCTGCGTGATCACGTTACTAGCAATGGGATTTAAACCGATTTCATCGGTGTCCAGGTCACTTTGTTTTGCACATTCCGCCTCTCACTGCCGGCTCGAATACAAGCGCATCAAATTCCACATGTACCTTGTGCCGAGGATGTGATCAGCGGTCGTCCTGCGTTGACTCCGATGCTTCATGTAAGGACAACTCAGCGCCCCAGGATTGTGAGACATGGGCTCAAAGATGACAACTTCTTCAGCAACCCACAGCACCTGAAAAGCCACTAACCTACCGGTACCGGTACCGGTAGCTGAACGCAGTAAGTAAAGAAAGACCCAGATCTCATATTAGCCGAGCCGAACCGAGCCGAATTCGCCCCCTTTTCCGTATTATTACCCAAAACACGTTAAGCGAAGATGGTTCATTGCATTGGCCTCTACGGAGTATCGTATCGTATCTCGACTGAAGAACATGACCCTTCATTGATGCGGTGCGACTCCATAATACGATGCGATGTATGCAGGGCTGTATAAGCTCCGCCATTCCAACGTCTCCGCCATTCCAACGTCTGCTGCCTTTCGTGGAAAGAGACGACGGACTTGTCCCGGGCTGCAAGAATGAGCAGAGTTTTCAGGCAATATTTTTCACGCATAGTACCTATCGCATTTGGTCCAAAGCCATTAGCTTCCTTTGCTATACACACTGTCATTCCAAACCAGGGCCAAGCTCATAGGAAGTACAGGAGAAACTCCAATCCGGAAAAATGCAGCGATTTCTTCACCAAGCTGAAGCTGGATCCACGACGGGTGCCAGAATCTAGTGCAGTTGCTGGCTTCATCATGCTGACCTGGACAACGGAAGCCGTGTATTGGGGATTTCAATCAACCCATGCCTAAATTGCTTATCTGCTGCAGCCGGCGGCGAGGGCTGGTCGATATGTTATAGCTATCGGAACCGGGTACCTGTACGCCGAAGGGCCATTCGTTTGTCGGTGAGTATTTTCGGAGTATGCGAATCTGTCTAACTGGGTGCGGCCAACGCAGCTCAATTTCGTCCCGTTGAGCGGGCTGCTGACGATGAGTATCGAACTCCGTAGGTCGCCATGCACGCAGCCCAAGCAGTCACTTTCCGACGATTCCATTCAAGAGTCAATGTTTAGATACATTTTTGACATCTACTTGTCCTGTTCTTCAAAGAGATCCTTCGATAGCATTGTTTCTAGCGCCGATGGAAAATCAAGGATTCTGCATTCCACCCACAATCTTGAAAACTCCGCTGCGGTACTATATAACCCATGTCAAAGTCAAAGTCAAGGGCCGCATAGTCGCATAGTGTTTGCCCCCTCTTTGCTGCATCGCGAGTGAAGCCTCTCCACTCTCAAATGCGGCATCGCGGCCAAGCTGCGTCCAGTTTTCCAACGGTTTCCCAGCGAATGGGGGTTGCCTGGCTATCTTCTCGATCTCTCAGACCCGATCCTCGTACACCAATTGAAGAATCAACAAGAAATACAGCTAGATCATTGGTAGAGTCGAAATTTACAGCAGGTGGAGAATTGGGCCGAGGGGCCACTAGATTTTCTCGAGGTCGATAGGGTCCATTAAGAGGATCCTGGTATAGTTCTGTCAGTCCCTCAACTTTCTGTACCTCCCCAGTGCTACTTTTCACAGAGTTCTTCTGAAGTCCAACTCATAATGGCGTCTACAGATGAAAAATCAGCCATCTTTGAGGCTTCGCCTATTAAGGGACCAGAAGCTGAAGGACAGAGGAAGGGTCCTCACATGCCTGGCGTCGAAGACGGCGATGAGAGATTGCTGAACAAAATTGGGTACACCCAGGTAATACTGGCCAGAGCATATTGATTGTGTCACCCAACTCACCATTCACAGGACCTCAGTCGCCACTTCACAAAATGGTCAACACTTTCCTACGCCATCTCCATCCTTGGAGTTCTTGGATCCGTACCTGCGACATTCGGTAGTCCACTAGCCCTAGGGGGTCCAGCATCCTCAGTATGGGCTTGGCTCTTTGGATCTCTCATGGCTTCGTGCATCTCGTCGTCGGGCATGTAACACACTCTCGCTTGTTACCCGAATTCTAACATATGTAGTTGCCGAACTTGTCTCGGCCTATCCCACTGCTGGAGGGATGTATTTTGTCACCCGTAACGTTGTGCCCCCTAAGCATGCCGCATTATGGTCTTGGATAATCGGATGGTGCAATCTCTTGGGCCAAACATCCGGAGTGGCCAGTGTGGGTTACACAGTTTCTCAGATGATACTCGCAGCAGCAAGCATGAACTCTGGGCTCGATGGAGACACATATGCATACTCGCCGTAGGTGTCCATCAAAAATTCACGACCTCGTGCTCATTCCTCTAGAACCCCCCTCCAAATCGTGCTCTTATCCATCGCCCTTCTCGCTATATTCGGCATCATCTGCTCTCTCACAACACACGCTCTGCACTCAATCATTATATGGTTTGCACCGATTAACATCATTGCGTCCGTGACTATATGTATTGCTCTACTCATCCTTACACCCAATAAACAGTCTGCTTCGTGGGTCTTCGGCCATTTTACCAATGGTTCGGGCTGGGGAACAGGCTTCTCCTTTCTCCTCAGTTTCCTCTCAGTTGCATGGACAATGACCGACTACGATGGCACGTCACACATGTCAGAAGAGACACACGATGCGGCAATTCGTGGACCACAAGCTATCAGGCACGCAGGTTCGTCGATCCCGACCTTGTTTTGTTCGCTAGCGAGGAATAAGCGAGAAACACCTCTGGTGAAGTGCAAAAAGTCCATGCTAATACGAACCCAGTCACAATCTCCGGCGTGGTCGGCTGGATGCTAACCGTCACCTTCTGCTTCTGCATCCCGGATCTCGACGCCATGATTTCCACGCCCACGGGGCTCCCCGCAGCCCAAATCTTCCTCAATGCGGGCGGGCGCCAAGGCGGAACCACCATGTGGTTCTTCGTGATCCTTGTGCAGTTCTTCACCGGCTGCTCGGCCATGCTCGCCGACACGCGCATGGCCTACGCCTTCGCCCGCGATGGCGCCCTCCCCTTCTCCGCATTCTTCGCACGCGTCAACGGCCAGACCGGCACGCCCCTCCACGCCGTCTGGCTGATCGTCGCCTTCGCCTCCTGCCTGAACCTCATCGGCATCGGCAGCACGCAGACCATCGTTGCCATCTTCAACATCACGGCGCCCGCGCTTGACCTCTCCTACGCGGCCGTCATCTTCGCGCGCATCGTCTACGAGTACCTCCAGCTCATCACCTTCGTGCCGGGCCCGTTCTCGCTCGGCCGCATGCAGAAGCCGTATAACGTGGTGGCCATCGTGTGGGTGTGTTTCATCAGCGTGGTGCTGATGTTCCCCACCACCAGGCCGGTGACGCCGACGAATATGAACTATGCTGTGGTGGTGGCGTTGGGTATTGCGACGTTCAGCCTGGGGTGGTGGTGGGCTGGAGCGAGGAAGACGTATACGGGACCCAAGACGCGGGATCTCCTCCCGGGCGAGCGGAGTGGGAATGGGGATGGGAGCTTAGATGAGGAGGTGGGGGGTAGCAAAGGGCTGAAAGAAGACTCATGAGGAGGTGCTGGGGTCTGCTTTTACGGAGAAAGACCCGGTGTTGGCATTCTGCTGCCTTGGAGATGCTGTGTTTGGGATTTTAATATGATAACACAACCTGTCGTGCACGTACACGTGGGTGACTAGACTCTAATTTGCGAGGCCTGCTATCTATAGATCATACAACAGCAGTCCTTGGTCACAAGCTCTCGATACCCTCGCCTACTGATCTGCATTCGTGACCCAGTTAGTGCACAGCGGAACAGGAACCCAAAAAAATTCGCTATTGCGTGATTCAGTTACGGAAAAGCTCGCAAACTAAGAACAACAGGTCCGAAACTCTTCTTATCCCGAGTGAAGACGAGCGAGATCACGGAAGAAGTCAAGGTAACGAGGAAGCAACTGTGGTATTGCTTCCTCGCTAGCTTGACTTCCGGACTAGCTCCCTCGCTCTGCTCTCGCCCGTAGATATTGTCCGCTCCATCTCAAAGCCCTCCCCCAGAACCGGCGAAACATCATCGACAACACAGAACGCCGCCAGACCCAATTCCAAGCTCAACTTCCTCAAAACACAAACATCAGCAAAAAAAGAAAAAAAAAAGCCGCATGGATATCCACACTCATATACATGCATCCATCCATGCACCCCCACACTGCAAGGAGGGCCCCCCCAAAACAGATCACTGCGGCGGCGCATCCTCTGCCTTCCACAACCAGACCACAGGCTGCCCGTTCTTATGCAGGTTCCCATTCCGGTTGCTCCGCCAGCCGAGATCGCCCACGCTCTTTTTCATCAGGTCCTTGTTCGCCATGGAGACGGTCAGGCCCTTGGCCCAGCCGCCGTTGCCCTTCTCGGAGACCTCGAAGACGGTGTCGGTGCGGCCGTTGCCCTCGGTGCAGCCGATCTTGCCGAGGAACTCCTTCAGGTTCATCGAGACGGGCACGTAGAACTTGGTGTGCGGCAGCGGGCTGTGCGGGCCCGGGAGCAGCGAGCTGCCGAGCTGCCACGGCTTGGTGGCCACGGACAGGATGTGGATGATGGTGTGCTCCGAGGGGAAGATGTAGTTGTAGCCTGGGGGAAGGCCGACGCCGCCGGTGGGGCTGTTGGGCCCGAAGTGGTTGCGCAGGTTGATACCGGGGAAGCCGCCGTCGCTGATGGGGGGTGGCGCTGCGTAGGTGGCACTGTAAGGAGGGTATGCTTGGGGGCCGGGCCAGGCGCTGAGGATTTGCTGTTGGAAGGGTGGAAATTGTGAGGGAGGGGGGAGGTAGGCCATGGGACGGGGTTGTGGCATGCCGGGGTAGGCTGTACCATAGAAGTTGGGAGGGAGAGGCCCGATATCGTAACCGTGGGCGGGATTGTGACCGCGTCCTGCCATTAGGGCGACTTGGGGGTAGGAACGTACGGGATTAGATGGTTGGAGCTGAAGAGCTTGGAGCGGTGTCGAGAGTTGCCCTCGTGATTGAGAGGGTTGACTGGGAGGGGAAGCAGGAGGTGGTGGTCCTGGATCGATACCGTGACTGGTGCTGTATCCTTGACGTCCAGCAGATAGCGACTGGACTTGGTAAATGTAGAAGATGCGCTCACCGAAGCTAGAGTACACAGCGATGGAGAGGAAGCGGACGAGTTGGACAGAGCTGAGGGGGTCTTGGAGGAGGGCGTGTTTGAAGACAATCCTGGATATACCAGCAGGCAGCGAGCGGGTGTAGGTGTGCTCTTGGACCTGGGGCTCAGGGGAAGCCAGCTTGTGTGGCTTTGAACTTGTTAACCTGGAAGTCAGTAGACAAGAATGTTTACATGAGTAGATGAAGTTTGGGTCAAACAGGCGTTTGAAGAGTAGAAAAGTTGAGTGGCTGTTGTGGAAGAAATGAAAAATCAACTGTGGGTGGAGACGCCTGGTCTTAAGTAGGGAGGAATGGATGAAGCATGAATCATACTCGTAGATAGAGTGTGGTATTTTAAAGCCGTGATTCACGATATCGCAGTGCTTGTTAAAAGGGAGGCTCGCTTGAGCTCGGCCAACGACTGCACAGTCAAATTGGCGAAGAATGACTGACTCGAGTCCCATAGTGCCATCAAAATAAACTGTTCTGTGCCTTGAAAAAAGCGTTGGCTGAATCACAATACTCGCTGAGACTAGCTGGGCTCAAGTCATGCCAGTAAGTGTGAGTCGTGGCTTCAAGCCCTCTGCGGCGAAGCAAATTTCGTAGAGGAATGAACATGACAAAGGAAAAATGCGAAGAGCAGACGAGAGAAAGCGATCGTGCGTCAATCAAGTCATTGCGTTCCATACATACACTAATGGTACACATCGCTCCCATGCAAATATCATTCGAACTGACAAGTGGAAAAATCGAAGTCCACCCTCACTTGACCACAGCCAAACCCTGATAGATCATGCTCTTGACAGCGTAGAAAGAGCTTCCATATCCAGTAGCTAGCCCGATGCTTTCCACTTCGATCCTTCCCGTGCCAGTTTTGCGCACGATGACTGTTGAATCGATCAACAAGGTACCCTCTCCCTTGAACTCAGCCGTATGACTTGCAGCCAGCATAAGTTTTCGCAGGTCTGGAAGACGCAGATCACCGACCTGGAGAGGCTGTGCTACTGATCTTGTTGCTGAAGCCATATTTGAAGGGAGGACATCCAGCGTGGGGAGCTCTGTTTCTGCAGAAGATGCAGAAACAAGATCCTTCTTTGTATCGTCTGATTCTTCCTCGTCACCCTCCCTCAGTAGCTTCTGCTTTTTATTACTACTTTCATCATCCGGATTGAGAGCGTCGGCAATAGTCTCCAGGCGAGCAGTGACAGTCGCAATCCTCAGATCCTTGACCTTTTGCCAAGTCAACTGTTTGACTAGCGCGCTTGTCAGTCTGACAGCCCAAGCGTTGGTATCCACGCTGGCATCGACAATGGTTCCAATCTCTGGAGTGTAAACATCGATTGTAGACTCTGACTTAAGCAATTTCCGGCAGTCACCTGCAAGAGCAAGAGTTTCGTCCTTCATTCCACCCACCAAAATTAGCTTCCGAGGTTGGATAAGGGGTAGCAGCATCTGCAAGCTTCGCTTATCGTGCAGACCGGCAAAATCCACGAACGCTATTCTGACGTTGAGGGTCAGATTCTCACTGGTGAAGACCACTTTGGCAGGCGAAGATTCGGCTAACAGGTCGCCGCTATCCTCGTCGTCCTCTGATTGCTGGTCCTCGGGACCAGGCGATATTTCTCCAGCTTCAGGGGAGTCGCGCTGGTTGCGATTCTTCTGTTTTCTCTTGTTGAACTCATTTACGATGAGATGGCCGTTCGATGAATGTTCTTCCCATTTCCGCTTCTTCCCTAAAGTGTCGCGGGTATCATGTTTGTTAGGCTGATTGCGCATATCTTGGCCATTAACCTCGTCTCTCTCCTCTGCTCTCAAAAAATCTTCCGGCCGAATCAACTCTCCAAAGTCGTCTACCCTTTTCCGCCGGACGGCTAAGGGAAACATCTTCTCGCGACCTTTCTTCCCCCGCACGTCATAATCATACACGTCCTTCTTCCGAAGCAGGACATTGATCCCGAGGTCTTCATCACTCATTCCAATCTTTTTCCGACTCGCCTGACCGATTGCCGATATATTCAAAGACTTTCCTTGCTGTTCTGTTTCAGAGTCTTCAGAGTCCGACGACGAGTCCGAGGAGGCATCATCAACGACATCAGCTGAGTTCTCGAGTGATGTAGCTCCTCCCGACTGCAAAGTTGTTTGAAGTTGACGTTGGGTAGCTAGCCATTGCTGGTATACGCTCAAATCATTTCCTTCTAATGCCAAACGCTTGGCTTCTCTAATGGCAACAGACTTCGCTCCACTGTTAACTCGATCCAGAACGAGCCCGGACTTGGTTTCTTCTGAAACAACGCTCTCTCTATCTTCCCACCAAGACCATAGCGTCTTTGCTAGACTTGAGGTTGCCTCGCCCTGCGGCTTTGCCATCTTTTCGGTGAGAATAATCAGGTTTCGAGTGTCATCCGCGACAGCCTTCAAGATATCCCGTGAAAAGCCCCACTCAAGAGAGGCATCGCTTGCAAGTATAACTTTACCTATCGACCTTCCATGACGGTCTATATCCGTCTGACCCATGATCCGGTCAATCTGCCCCTTGCGCTCCAGTAGCCGCAAGTGTTTAAAATCGAAGGGACCCCCGTCAGAACTACCCTTCGCATCCCCTGCAGCTTTAGAACCGGTTTCCTTTTGGTTTATTCCAGCATTGGCCTCGAACTCTCGAATGATCGCATCGTCCATCCATTCCAACATACTTCTGGCATATCGCATTGTCGCTCCGATATTCCTGCTCGCAAGGTAAAGTTTTGCCCCTCGCAGGTGGCTATCCTCATCCTTAGACTCCGTCCGCCAGACATGCTCCAAGAGATACGCTAGTTCCAAGACTCGAGCACTGGAATCAGTCGGTATGAGAACTATTCCTCCTTGGCTGACCGACGTCTTGATCATTTCCAAAAGAAGCTCATCCCGCTTTGCTCTCCCACCAGGCAGAGCGTGTCTCTCCCCTCCGCGGCTACTGCATATCAAAGCTGTGGGCTTGCGCAATTGCTCAATAACTTCCGCACCTCCGGCCCCAGCTCCTCCCAACCAGGCAGCACCAGCCAGGACGTTTTCTCGAGCTTGGTTCCAGTCGACTGCGTAAACGATGGATTCCAAGCCATGCTGAATATGCCATATCGTCCCTCCTAGGGTATGCCCCGCGTTGTAGGCTGTTATTGCAAGACCGTTGAGAGGCGGAGAAAAGGGCGACGGTAACGGCTGATGGGGTTGAGAGTATTTCAACGGGTGGATGAGAGCGAAATATGATGCTATCTCTTCGCTGGTGGGTGGTTGGAGAAGGATGTTGGCATCTTGATTGGCTGATATTGTTTGTGAATAGGCATATGATGCCTCAGAGAGAGCAGAATGAGGGATGATTGTCGCGGATAGAGGGGTTGAGGCGTAGATATTTTGTACAAGAGTTCGGCCTAGGGATATAACAGGGAGAGTCGCATACACCGGTATTCGGCTGAACAAGGGAAAGTGCTTGCAGCAATGGGCGAAAGCCGCAATGTGGGAAACCGTCGCGTGTGTAAGAAGGATAATCGAGAGAGTTGGAACTTGCCTAGAAGGTGTTGTTAGCAGATCAACAAGACGAAGGGCAGAGCTGGGCGGATTCGACAAAGAGCGTGGGTAGATTGAGGTGAAATGGCTGAATATATCTTCATTGTTGACTGATGTACAAAGGTTTGCTGTTGACTGCGCCCTCCCCAGTCATAAGTGATCCCCGAAAAGAAAGCTCGACCTACTTCTCAAGCTCCTTCAGCTTAGCCACATCGAATGTCTCGTCCCAGCCCACGTCTATGAGGACTTTGACCCCTCCATCGAGCTCCAGTATTGACTGTGAGGCCGACGACTCGGATTGCGCGCCCAGCAGTGAGCAGAACGTGAACATCGTGTCCAAGGATCCCTTCTAGATCAACACATTTGTTAGTCCCATTTCCAATGTCGCTTGGTATTAATCGAAGTATCTGCAGCAGACAGGAATTTTGTTGAATGCTGTCGTTAACCGGGAGGTCGAGGCTGAAAAGAAGTTGCTAGGTATTCAAGGATAAGCATGATCGCGACTCTTGCTCCCAACTAGCGTTACCTCGGACAATAGTTTCACCGTCCAAATCTCGAAGAGGTGTCAACACCAAGAGATTGACTATCACATAGCCCGGACTACGCAAACATGACGATGCGGCTCTTCTGAAAGTCTAAGGAAATCGAGGTACGTGCAGCGGTGGGAATTCTCTCAAAGAATACCAGCAAAATCCAAGCTCCTCGATAGAGCCACTCACAATGTCCGACAATCTATATCATTCCCTTCCCCAAGGGCCGAACGATGATCAAAGTAACCCATATCACACTGGACAACCTCAATCTCAGCCTCCTATCGCCCAATCACCATATCAGCAAGCTGGATTCAACTACAATGCTTCAATGTCGAATCAGCCACACAATGGCTCACAGATGGGACCACCCAGCGCATCGTCATATGGTGCTCCCCAAGCGCAAGGATATTTCCCAGATGCTGGTACGCAAGCACAGGATGGAGGGCTGGCAGCGCAGATGGGTGGGTTAGGACTGGGAGAAGTTGCGACACATGGCAGAAAGAAAAAGAAGGACCGACATGCCTACCATAACGTCGAGCCCACGGGATCGTCTGCGGCTTTCAATGGTATACCGCAAGGCAATGCTCCTCCTGCAGAATTCTTGAATTCCAACCCAGCGGCAATGCCTGGTCAGCCTCAAGGATCATACGCGAATGCCCAGATTACGCCTCAAATGTCACAATTTCCTGCTGCAGTCAATGCTCCTTTCAACCCCGCGAGTCTTGCTTCCCCTGCCGAGTTTGCTTCTCGAAGTGGAGCGGCCGAACCTGGATTCACTGCGAACATGCAAGCTTCTGCTCAAGGCCGAGTAGACCCAGATCAGACTCCAAGTGTTCCCAGATCAAGAGATGCCATCGCGCAATACTACCTAAAAAATGTTTACCCGACCTTCCACCAACATGTTCCTCCTCCGGCATCCGTGCCCTTCGTTGCCTCCGATGAAGGGAACTCCTCTCCTAAATTCGCCCGACTCTCTATGAACAGTATTCCATCAGCATCCGATGCGCTCCAGTCGACCGGTCTCCCCCTTGGCCTTCTCCTACAACCACTCGCTCCTTTGCAGCCAGGCGAACTAGAGATACCGGTGTTAGACTTTGGAGAAATCGGTCCCCCGAGATGTCACAGATGTCGAGCTTATATCAATCCATTCATGGTTTTCAAAAATGGGGGAAATAAGTTTGTATGCAATATGTGCAACTATGCGAACGATGTTCCAGCAGAATATTTCTCGGCAACTACACCAACAGGGGCTCGCTTAGACAGAGAGCAACGACCAGAGTTGATGCGTGGAACTGTCGAATTTTTGGTTCCTAAGGAATACTGGTCGAAGGAGCCTGTTGGACTCAGGTGGCTATTCCTCATCGATGTTGGTCAAGAAGCTTTCAACAAGGGGTTCTTGGAGGGATTCTGTGAAGGAATCATGGCAGCTTTGTATGGGGACGAAGGCGAGAACGGCGAGTCCAAGCGGAGAATTCCGGAAGGTGCCAAAGTTGGTTTCGTGACATTTGACAAGGATATCCATTTTTACAACATGAACGTGAGTTTGAAGGAATCATCTCTCATCAACGTGACTGACATGTTGCTAGCCTGCAATGGATCAAGCTCAGATGTTAATCATGCCCGACATTGAGGATCCTTTCGTGCCACTTGAGGAGGGTCTATTCGTTGATCCCTATGAAGCGAAGTATGTGTTTTGGATATCTCGCTGGAATGATTGCTGACAGCCACAGGTCGAATATCACTTCGCTGTTGAGCCAACTCCCGGCGCTCTTCTCGCAGATCAAGAATCCCGAACCAGCTCTTCTGCCGACGTTAAATGCTGCTCTAGCTGCTCTTGAAAGGACTGGCGGGAAAATCGTATGTTCATTGGCAGCTTTACCGACCTGGGGTCCGGGGCGTCTTTTCCTCAGAGATGACGGCAAGCAGCATGGTGGTGATGCCGAGAAGAAACTTTTTAGTACGGAACACCCAGGCTGGCGGAAAGCTGCTGAAAAGATGGTCGCTGCTGGTGTTGGCGTGGACTTCTTCATGGCTGCTCCTGGTGGCGGTTACCTCGATATCGCAACGATTGGTGAGTAAACGCACAATTTACCTACCCTGTGCTAACGTCTCTTAGGCCATGTTTCTGCCACGACTGGCGGCGAAACGTTCTATTACCCCAACTTTGTATCCCCGCGAGACACCGAAAAGCTTTCACATGAGGTTGTACGCACCGTTACTCGAGAGACTGGATATCAAGCGCTGATGAAGGTCCGATGTTCCAACGGTCTACAAGTCTCTGCCTACCACGGAAACTTCTTGCAACATAATTTCGGAGCTGATGTTGAATTTGGTGTGGTCGATGCAGATAAAGCGATGGGAATCATGTTCAGCTACGATGGAAAGCTCGATTCGAAACTCGATGCCCATTTCCAGAGCGCTCTGCTGTACACGACAGCAAGTGGTGAGCGGAGGGTCCGATGCTCCAATGTCATTGCAAGTGTGAGCGAAAATGCGAAGGATTGCATGAAGTTTATCGACCAAGATGCAGTCTATTCGCTAATAGCCAAGGAAGCTGCCGCGAAGATGGCGACAGCCTCTCTGAAAGATATACGAGGAGCATTGACCGAGAAGAATATCGATGTTCTCGCTGGGTACAGAAAGAACTTCTCTGGATCGCATCCTCCGGGACAACTTGTTCTACCAGAAAACCTCAAGGAACTCAGCATGTATGTCCTAGGCCTGATCAAATCTCGAGCATTCAAAGGTGGACAAGAACCCACAGATCGCCGTGTCCACGAGATGCGCATGATCAAATCCATGGGCGCCCTTGAACTCTCCCTCTACCTCTACCCCCGCATGATTCCCATCCACAACCTCGCCCCCGAAGATGGCTTCCCCGACGCAGACGGCCACCTTCTCATGCCACCCTCGATCCGCGACTCCTTCGCCCGCGTCGAAGAAGGCGGCGTGTACCTGATCGACAACGGACAGAACTGCTACCTATGGCTGCACGCCCAGACCTCTCCAAATCTTCTGATTGACCTCTTCGGCCCCGGCAAAGATTCCTTAAAAGAATTGGACCCCTACTCTTCCTCGCTTCCTATCCTTGAGACACATCTGAGTGCTCAAGTCCGCAACATCCTCGAAAATCTCAGGACGATGCGTGGCTCAAAAGCGTTGACGATACAGCTGGCACGACAGGGACTGGATGGCGCAGAATACGAGTTTGCGAGGCTGCTTGTCGAGGATCGGAATAATGAGGCCCAGAGTTATGTTGATTGGCTGGTGAACCTCCATCGTCACGTCCAGCTCGAGGTAGATCCCCACAGGTCTCTATCTGCGAGTACACCGTACTGATTGTTGGTTTTAGTTGACGGGTCAGAGGAAGAAGGATGATGGTGGTGATAGTTCTGTTGCTTCGAATTTTGCAGGACTAAGACCACCTTATTGGTAGACGGCCTGGTTTTCGGCGGTGGAGGCAGGGGGATATACGTTTGTTTTCTGAGTAAATTTAGCGTGCATGGAAATGTTTATTTTTCCGTAATAAGAGTCTAGGACGCCACATTATATGTATTCGTGCATGCTGCGTGGAGGGGACAACGTCGTCTGGGCCTAGTGCCCGCCCATACGGCTACTTTTCACTTTTGCAATCTTGACCCGAGTTCCTTGAGGGTGTGTTTGGCTCACAGTTGTAGGTCCGTGCAAACTGAGCAGTCGAGTTGATCTTAAACAGGATCAACTCAACTTGACAGTGGAAGTTGCACGGACTAAGGCCTGTTCGGCTCGCAACTAGCAAATTGAATAGCAATTGGCAACTCAGGACTTAGGAAATCAAATTAATTCGTTGCTACAACCACTAATTATTTGTTAATCCAACAAACTCGACATCAACAACGCTACTATGTCGATCCCTCCAAATTTCGAGATTTGCTATTACGGAGGCCCCTCCTGCGAGTCTCCTTCCCGAGTCCAAGCCTGTCAGATCGGACGTATGCTCAGGTATTTTTGCGAAATTATTCTTGCAATATTGAACGGCGGGGCAAGTTCCTATTGCAGCGATAATAATCCCAATATTGCGATTCCGCAGATTGCGCTTTTTCAGTCTAGATTTCGGAAAGGCCATGATCAAGAAGTTGCGTGGTCTAGATAGAGACCTATTTAGAATTCCTGATTGGCAATATATATATTTTTTGGGGGGTATTATGCTTTAGAAGATGGGCTTCCCTACCGATGGAAAAATGGTTGCGTGCTGTACGTAAAACTACCTTACCTAGATTCATCCGCCAAGAGCGCAGTGCTCGATTGGTTTATTCTTGGAGTCAGCCGCTGGGGCTACCGAGCTTATTGAAGCCCTAATGCGTTCGTTCGGCTGTGTCCCACCCCACCCACTCTTGCACCTTTTTGTGAACGTAATATGTTTACACTGACTCTGCCCGCTGGCACATCAATCAGCCTAGTAATGGGCTCAGGTGCATTGGTCTAGCGGTATGATTCTCGCTTAGGGTTCACTCTAAACATGTCTGCGAGAGGTGTAAGTTCATCCAATTCACGTATGCTATACATAAGCCATACTAACATAACACCAGCCCCGGTTCAATCCCGGGATGCGCCCAATGTATCGTAACGTTTTGCCATTGCTTTCTTTGATTGCTCTCTCAGTGGCTACAGGATATCTCAAGCGTTGCATTTCCGATCTTTTGGCAGTTGGTTGTGAGCCGAAACGGAGATTGAAGGCTTGTTAATATTGAATTTCAAGAAATCATAATGTAGAGCAGCAATATCGAATGCCAAAGGTGCATTAATGAGTCGTTTGAAACGGTTTGATTAAGGCGGAACTCGAGCTGGGTATCTTTTTGTAGAAATACGCTTTATCAATATGCATCGACACCTTTTTCTTTGCGTTTCTGAAATTCCAAAACTTGCCTTAAACAGAGGGCTTTTCTGTCTCCGGGTCGTTACACAGACGCATCTTTCATCCTGCTGCCATCCTTCAACACTATCTCTATAGACAGATGTCGACGAGCGTGCTATTGATCGCAGATACTCGGTCACGGGAACCTGGAACAACCTGTGCCAGACTCCTGCACAGGATTAGCTTCAAATCCAGGGAGTCCGGCGCCTAGAGGGAAACCTACCTAATTGCATGGCTCTGCAACAATGGCAATGGTTGGGCTCCTTGAGATTTCGCGCCTTCTTGTATGGGAGCCTGACTTCCCACCAGAATTTCAAGTCTCTCCATCTCGACAACAATATAGCTCTGGAGTCGTTTATTGAAAAATGCGCATAAGTCGATCTCGCTATCCCCCTCCCTCCAACCCCCCAAACACTACTTACTCCCTTATACTTCTCCAGGATCGGCGTCGATAAAGGGCATGCAGATTCGGTAATGACAACACCACCCAGTGCCCACCGTCTTGACCACTCTTAGTAGACCTCCTACTTCGTCCGAGTACTTCCGTCCTTAGTATTCTCAAGCACAGGACGTACCCTTCTGGTGTTTTGTATGTACGGGGGCCTGGCTCTTGAAGTATCAAGTATCATTCCTCTTAGCCTCATCATGCTCCTTCCTGGCCCGAGGGAAACGACGGTAAAATGTTCGATCCACTTCAGCAGGCTACGCCTATCCGCAGAGTCGAGGCGTTCGGCACCATAAGGACATCGCCATCTCTCGGCTTCGGCGCCGTCCTTCTTTCTCCCTTTGCTGTTCCAAACGTCTCGTGAATTGAGACTTGGGAGAAGGGGTAACGGAGGCCTGGTGCGCCTGAAGCTCAGCTGGGCTAGCCCAAAGTTTTTTGTGGCCGGCCTTCTCATAGGTACGCACACAGGATGTTAGCAAATGGCACACGAGGGGATGTTCCCGGGCAAAGATAACCTTTAGAATCTATCTTGCTTGGGTGATGGGAGCCGTGTAGCGGACCCCTTCACCGTCTCGTAAGATCAACCTCAGCTGGATTAGCAATCGTAGATATTGGTTCGGCGATCGCTCTTTCCGATGTTGATTTTGGCGCGGGAAGGACAGTGTTTGACTCGACTGCAGCAAAACCGCCAAAACCGCCTTCCGCGCGAATCCATCATCCCAGGACGAGAAAATGGTTATCGTAGATTGCGCTTCTAACTGCCCGTTTCCCAACTGCAGCTCCTCACTTTCGAAGCTTCACCGGGAAAAAAAGTCTTGGTTCCGGGAGGCTGCTCGCTTCGCCTTCGCCTTGGAAACCAAAATCAAAATCGGGAAAGAAAAAGAGAAAAAACGGCAAAACTTTGGTAGAGCCCTTGCGTTTGTGCTATGCAAGAGGGCTACCTAGAAAACCACCGACTCGAGGGAAGGGGTTTTTTCGAGCCACTTTCCTCAGCGGGAGAGCGGCTCAAGCTAACGTCTGCTGGGCATTACCCAGCTACACCAAGCGAGCAATGCTGTTTTGGTGCGGCGGAAACCAAGGTGGAATATTCTTATACGTAGTCACAAATATTTTTTCGACGGGGGCGGGATTGAATAAGTCTGAACGCCCCTCAGAAGACGAACAAGAATGGATATCTGACTCATCTTCCTTGCCCATCAAAAAGTATTGGCTGAGGTCTCTTTTCCTTCAGCTCGAAGTAATTTGCTCTCCGAGGGCTCAACTCTGACTGCGATACTTCTCACCTCCCCTCCCCTTTACAGTCTTTGAACAGCCAGGAAAACACCAATCACCTACAGGAGAACTGGTAATATCAGCATAGATTACTTCTACCAGCTGAGTCTTCAAGCTATATTTTGCATAAGCCGCTATCGAGCTTCACCTTGGCTTTCCTACCGGTTCTAGCGCCAAGCTGTGGCTCTCATCACAGTTTCTTGATATATATCTCGAGCCGCCTTCAAACCAGATTGCGCCTTTAGTTCTTGACTACAATACCTATAACCTTCGAAATCAAGACTATAGTAACGCCATATAGCTCGCGATCACTCTTAACTTCACAATCTTGTTCTCTTTGTTTGAAGCTGCTACTGCAGCTCTACACATAACTTCCACTTTGCAATGACCCCTTTTCACCTCTCATCTCATCTTCACCATACTTGATCGAGTCAACTTCCTCGCCAGATCACCTAGATCGAAAGGTTCCAACTTCGAAACCCACTTCACCACCCTCTTCCGGACCAACACCTACACCTGCTAAAATCAAGACGTTAACAGCTCCGTACAGCTCACGCTCACTTGCAAGCTCGGTCTCCGAAGCTGTTATTACAACTCTACACAGAACTTCAACCTCGCAATATACCCCTCTCATCTCCACCATACTCCATCGAGTCACCCTTCTCACCAGATCGCCCAGATCTACAAGTCACAGCACCCCGCAGTCTCCCATAGCTATCCTCGTTCCGAACTCCGAGCTCTGGCACTATTTCCGGTCCTCTTGACTGAAAGGGCGATTCGTACCTCCTGACTGACATGGATAGCAGAGACCTCTTGCAAAAGATGGGAGAGGTCTGAGGACGACTGCAACGCTAACCAATGGCCCGCCCCCCTCTTGGCCCTTCCAGAGATTGGAGACGAAACAAAGTTACGATATGGCCAGTGCAAGCACAGCCTACCAGTCTCTCAATCCATGATTGCGGCTGCGAAGAAAGAGCAGCGGGAAACCCTAGGCCGTGGACAAGAATAGGTCGCTCGAGACCTCTACCAAGATAAGCCGTGGCGACTAGCGGCTGCCCAGATCGACATCCACATGAAACCAGGTCGCCGGATCCTTCCTTCCCTTCCTTCAAAATCAAGGATGAGAAGAACGCCCTGGTAGCCGAGCAAGATGTGGTGCCGGACCGGGACGACGAGACGGTCGTCGAGGACCTCATTCTTGCCCGCGACACGGCGGAGAGCGGGCGTACCGTGACGGGCAATCCTAACATCTTAGTTCGAGCGTGTCGGTTCATCATAGAGATAGAGGCGCGGACCGGGTCAGAACACCGTCACCCAACAACCGGCTGATGCGGCGCCTCCATTTCCCACCCACCTTTGAGAATCTCAACATGTACCAGCCCCATTACCAGGCCGGTATCTGGGTCCCGTTTGTAGAGATCGCCGGAATAGCTACGTGGGTGAACCGGAGGCGGCATCATTCGGAAACGTCCCGGTACTTTCGACCTCCAGCTGAAAACTCAGGGAGGAATCTCACGGATCTTTTCTGAGGAGCCTCCTTCAACGACAGCCGTTGCGACCAGTTGCCGTAGGCTTGTATGAGTAGCCGTCGGAGCATCATATGCTGCAGCATTAGTGACCCGCGAAGCAGAGGATATAGATACCCACTTCCCTCCTACAAACCCGTCCCGCAAAGAAGGAAGTAGCAGAGCCTCTCCATCCATCCTCAATGAGATAACAAGGGAAGAATCCATTCATCTCATTCAAACATCACCCTCTCTCCCTCTTTTTTCATTTCCTCTCACTTACTGAGCTTACTCATTCCGCAAACCACGAGGCGACACTGAATATTTGTATATATATGTATACATGTTATGTACACGTTCGTACGCTGATCTTCGTTCGCTATGCGCGTGATATACATACATACGAACGATGGTGATAGTGAAGACGTCCAATCTTTTTAGATTTGGGAAGTATATCTAACTTTTGATAGTGCAGATACGTATATATATATATATATATAGAAGCTGAAAAAAGAAAGGAAAAAAAAAGGTGCGAAAAGGAGGAAAGGCGCTGATCGATCGGCCAAACATGAGAGAGAAGGAGGAAAGGAAAAAGAGGAAGTGAAGATGCATTAACGTATACTTTTTCCATCCACTCGTGGAGATTTCGTCAGACATTGCCCACAATGAAGAAGATATGCAAAAGCAGGAAAGGATCAGTAGGTAGGTGCGCGAAGTCCA